GCCTTAGCTCCTAACCTCAAAAGCAGAAACAGACACCACTCCGCCTCCTTAATTTACCTCTTTGGGCTCTGTGCCCATCAGCAATGCCATCTGCTGCCCCTCATGCCCATGTCCATGTCTTCTCATCCAGGCCTATTTCCCAGGTGCAGGTGGCAAAAGGGAGCAGCAGTGACTATCCAGATGGATGATGGAAAGCCCAGCCTCCCAGGAGGCTTGTGGCGCCAGCTGAGGAACCAGGCAGGGGGGGCTACCTGTGGTAATAGGACCTAAAGAGGAGTGAATTCACCTGGAAGAGACCAGGGCTGAGTGAGAAAGCTAAACCAGCAGCAGTGTAGGAAAGGAGGGTCAGGAAGTTTTGAGAACCTGAGAGGCACCCTAGAGGTGGAGATAGAGTCAGGAATTTAGAATCTGGAAAAATGAGAGTGAGCAGTAAAGCAAACATGTCTGGATCAAACATGGGAGCAAATGGGATGAGACTGGCCAGGGTTCCATGCAGTTTTCCTTAATACCATCTGCCATGTGTGGTTTACATTACAGGTGAGTCAGTTTAATTCAGAGAACTGGACATGGGGTAGTTACATACTGAACTACAGGCAATGCTACAAATGTACCCACGGGTTCCTCTAGCCCATCCATATTTACCTAAGCTTTCCGAAATGGTCTGAATACACCCCACTCTCCAGCAAGTTGCCTTCCACAGGACATCTTCCTTAGCCTTTTTCTTATCAGTCTACTGTAAATGTTATTTCATTTACTGGACTGTGAACCCCTGACAAACAACAATTTCATTTTGTTCATACAGTGTGCTTGACACACTGTAGGTGCTCAATAAATGTATATGAATGAGTACTGTAAAAACAAACCAAATGTCCAGTGTGCTAGGAACAAAGAACAGAAGCAGCCTGGAGAGTCACGGAAGGCTCTGACACAGAGGAAACAGGTGATTAAGGTCCTAATGAAGTGCTATCCTGGTAGAGTCAGAGAGAAAAGTAGAAGGAATAGCAGCATATCTAAGGATACAGAAGTGTAAGAAAGCTCAGCTAATTCAAGTGGCTTGTCATTACCAGTGTTACTGCTCCTCTTTCTCTCTTATTCTAAAGAACCTAAAGCTAGCAAGGCTTTTGGTATTTGACTCTACCCTATGTTGGCAAACTCTTATCAATTAGCATTAAAAAGAAAAAGAAAACCAAAGTGGAGGCATCACAATCCCAGACTTTAGCCTCTACTACAAAGCTGTCATCATCAAGACAGTATGGTATTGGCACAAAAACAGACACATAGACCAGTGGAATAGAATAGGGAACCCGGGGGGGGGGGGGGATGGGCATAGAGGAGGGCACTTTGGGGATGAGCACTGAGTGTTATGTAGAAACTAATTTGACAATAAACTATTTGTAAAAAAAAAAAAAAAAAATTTTTTAAAATAAAAAATAAATTTCTCCTCAAAAAAAAAAAAAAAAAAAAAGAATAGGGAACCCAGAATTGGACCCACAAATGTATGCTAATTAATCTTTGACAAAGCAGGAAAGAGTATCCAATGGAAAAAAAGTCTCTTTAACAAATGGTGCTGGGAGAACTGGACAGCAACATGCAGAAGAATGAAACTAGACCACTTTCTCACACCATACACAAAATTATACTCAAAATGGATGAAAGACCTAAATGTGAGATAGGAAACCATCAAAATCCTAGAAGAGAAAGCAGGTAACAACTTCTTTGACCTCAGCCGCAGCAATTTCTTGCTTGACACATCTCCAAAGGCAAAGGAATTAAAAGCAAAAATGAACTATTGGGACTTCATCAAGATAAAAAGCTTCTGCACAGCAAAGGAAACAATCAACAAAACTAAAAGGCAACCGACGGAATAGTAAACGATATTTGCAAATGACATATTGGATAAAGGGCTAGTATCCAAAATCTATAAAAAACTTACCAAACTCAACACATGAAAAACAAATAATCCGGTGAAGAAATGGGCAGAAGACATGAATAGACACTTTTCCAAAGAAGACATCCAGATGGCCAACAGACACATGAAAAGATGCTTAATATCACTCATCATCAGGAAAATACAAATCAAAACCACACTGACATACCACCTCACAACTGTCAGAGTGGCTAAAATTAACTCAGGTAACAACAGATGCTGGCGAGGATGTGGAGAAACGAGAACCCTCTTGCACTGTTGGTAGAACTGCAAACTGGTGCAGATGCTCTGGAAAACAGTGTGGAGGTTCCTCAAAAAAATTAAAAATAGAACTACCCTATGGCCCAGCAATAACACTATCGGGAATTTATCCAACAGATACAGGAATGCTGATGCATAGAGGCACATGTACCTCAATGTTTATAGTGGCAATTTCAATAATAGCCAAACCATGGAAGAGCCTAAATGTCCATCAAATGATAAATGGATACAGAAGATGTGATTTTTATATACAATGGAATACTACTTGGCAATGAGAAAGAATGAAATCATGCCATTTGCAGCAACATGGATGGAAATAGAAACTATTATGCTAAGTGAAATAAGTCAGTCAGAGAAAGACAGACATCATATGTTTTCACTCATATGTAGAACTTGAGAAGACCATGGAGGAAGGGAAGGGGAAAAAATAGTTGCAAACAGAGAGGAAGGGAAGCAAACCATAAGAGACTCTCAAATACAGAGAACAAACTGAGGGGAGATGGGAGGGGGCGGTGAGGGAGAGGGGAAAATGGGTGGTGGGCATTGAGGAGGGCACTTGTTAGGATGAGCACTGGGTGTTGTATGTAAGCAATAAGCCATATGAATCTACCCCCAAAACCAAGAGCACACTGTACACACTGTATGTGGCCAGTTTGACAATAAATCATATTAAAAAAATATCCTTCCCCAGAGGTGATCCAAGAAATTAAAATATTCTCGTTATTTACCCCTAAAACACATCTCATGACTGCATATTTTTACTGATATGATTTCCTGAGTCATATCTATACCCTGCTTATCTTTGGTTGCTCCCAATGCCAGCTAAAATCCTTCCTTGTTCTTAAATGAAAAATACTTTTCCTCCACTATTCAAAAGTAGGATGTTACTATAAAACCTATCCTAAGCCCGAAATGTTATAAAGAGAAGCAATCACCATTTTGTAAAAATGAAAATCCTCTTCTAATTTCCTTGAGTTGGCAAAAAAAAAAATCTTCCATAAAAGCAAAGTGGCATAACATGAACTTCAGAGTGGCAGGAAAAACCTGTCCAGGCCTGCAGATAACAGCATTCTTCCATTTCTTTCATGCCAAGTCCTAAACATATCTGTGAATGGGGCTGTTATATATCACAATCTCCACATCTACTCAATTTTCTCTTTGTCCAATACTTTCTAGGAGTTAGTGCTTCGGCAAGCTTAACAGAAGAATAGAAGGTTCAAGAAATTCTGATCCAATTTTCCTTGATTCACTCATTCATGCGTCAAATGTAAACAGAGCATCAACAGTGAACAAACACAGCCCTTGTGAGTTTACAGTTCCTTAAAGCCTAAATGTTTGGCAAATGCTTCAAGGTCAGACTTTTAAATACCTTATTAACACAGCTCTGAACATGTCTACAAATTCACCCAGTTTCACATGGGTCACTGCTCTTTCCCAATACATATTTTGCAAACACTGTCTGTATCACTGGCAATAGGGGTTTGAAAAGTTGCTCTAGTATTTGGAAGATAAATCCTCATACTGAAAGTATAAAAAAGATTCCTTTATTATTTGGAAGTCCCCAAACTACATCTACATGGTCATTTCCTTTATCATATGAACAAATTCCTAAACATCCTTAGTAGCAGTGGCAGCAGTGGCAAGAATTAAAAATAGTGTACCTGCTGTTTCATTGGGGGTTTGCAGTTTAACTGTTTTGTGCCCACCTATTTTTATGCTTTCATTGTACAATCGAGTGTGAGTTGTGTGCTCACTTACTCATTCATGCAAAAAGCATTTATCTGGAGATTATTTTGTACCCTCATGTGGTTAAGTTATACCTTGGATCTGTTCATTCATTTATTCATCATTCAACAGGCATTTATTAAAAAACCAACTCTGTTTCATTGCTCAATCTAGATGTGCTGGGAAGAACAGAAACAATAGCATTGTTGTTCCTCCCTTTGAAGAGCCAATAGTACATAGGGTTCATCACAGTTTGATTCATGAAGAAGGGCACCCTCTCTCCAGTTTCTCTCATTAGTGAAGCATGGAACAGCACAACAAATTTCCTGCAACTGGACCTTTCCTCTCTGTTCTTCCCTTCATAAAAAAATGCACATTAAAAAAAAAATCTTCCCCTTGTGTCTTCCCATTGACTTTACAGAAAGCAAACATGGTCTTCTTTTTTCACCTCTCTCTCTTTTCCTCTCCTCCACCCTCACACCAGGGAACCACATTCATGCCATTCTGGCAGGTGCACAGTTAATCCACAAAAGCACTTTTTATATTGGGCCTAAATGCTACTATAACCATTTGGTGAATGAGGAAATAGATACTGAAGTTAAGATACTGCCCCCAAATCGCACAAATCCATGATGAAATCAAGTCTAAGATCTAGATCTTTTTATAACATCATGCTAACTCCAATAATCTCCCTTGAATCAATCAATATTATTTTCCAAGAGCATATATGGCTAATTTTTGTAGAATCAATCTTATTTCAGTTTCCTTTATTCCTGGGCTTATGCCTATTCTTTCACCTAAAATATTTTTTCGAGGTGCCTTGGTGGCTCAATTGGTTAAGAGTCTGACTCTTGATTTTAGCTCAGGTCATGATCTTTCAGTTTGTGGGACTGAGCCCCATGTTGGGCACCACACACAGAGCATTGGGATTCTCTCTTCTTTTTGCCTCTCCCCCCATTTGTGAGCTCACTTGCTCTCGCTTTCTCTCAAAATAAACATTTAAAAAATAATAAAATATTTTTTTCTTTTGTGTGTGTGTGGGGGGGGAATATGGCAGACTAGAAAGATCCTAAACTTACCTCCTGATACAATTAGGTAACATCCACATGAGTGTAAATAATCCAGAAAATGACGAAAAGTCCTGCAGAACAGATTCTCCATCGCTAAGTGTAGAGAAGAGACCATGTCAAAGAGGGTAGGAAGAGTGGAAGCAAGGTTGGGTGCTAAATGGGCCCTCTGGAGTGTCCACAGGAGGGAGGGATATGATGGGCATGGTGAGGGCAGAGGAACAGACCCCACACCCAAGTACCCCAGGTACCTGCATGCAAAAGACAAATCCCCATAACATTTAGCTTTGAAATTCAGAGTTTGAAAACTTCACAAGTTCTTACAATCAGCAATCAGTGGGGATTAACATCTGGAACTTTAAAAGTCAGTGGGCGCAGCTCCTGGAGAGCCAGGAGGGCAACAGGAAACTGAATCCTGCCTTTAAAAAGACAGCACAATGAACAGCCTCTCAGAGATATAGCATAGACGCAGCAGTTCAAAAAACACATGGGGTATACCAGAAGAAGATTATTTGCTATCCACAGTGCAAGGCAGGGATCTTTGGGAGATTTCTCAATGAACAAAAGAGCAGCCCCCCAGCTTAGATACACAGACACCTGCAGGAACCAATCAATGTCAACACTCCACCTAGCTTGCTAACAGCCTGCCCTGCCCCATGTGCTTCCCAGGATCTTACCTCTCCAACACAGCTGGCCTCTGCAAGAATTTTCCCAGCTGAAGGTTCCCTCCCACAGCAGACCCACATGGACCTTGCTGGCACCGTTTGCCATATATGAAAAACCCACAGCTAATATCATCCTCAATGGTGAAAAACGAATCTTTTCCTCTAGGACGAGGAACAAGAGAAAGATGTCCACTCTCACCATTGTTTATTCAACATAGTACCCGAAGTCCTAGCCTCAGCCAAAAGACAAGAAATAAAAAGCATCCAAATTGGTAAGAAAGAAATAAAACTTTCAGTGTATAGATGACATGATACTATATTAGAAAACCCTAAAGGCTATACCAAAAAACAACTAGAACTGATAAATAAATTCAGTAAGGTCACAGGATAAAAAAATCAATATACCAAACTTGTTGCATTTCTATACACTAAATATGAAATAGTAGAAAGAGAAATTAACAAAACAATCCCATTTACAATTGCACCAAAAATAATTAAATACCTAGAAATAAACTTACCAACAGGTAAAAGACTGTACTCTGAAAACTTGGAAACACGATGAAAGAAAGAGATGACACAAACAAATGGAAATATATTCCATGCTCATGGATTAGAAGAACAAATATTATTAGAATGTCTATACTACCCAAAGAAATCTACAGATTTAAAACAATCCCTATCAAAATATCAAAAGCATTTCTCTGAACTAAAAACAATCCTAAAATTTATATGAAACCACAAAAGACTCTAAATAGCCAAAGCAATCTTGAAAGAGAAGAACAAAGTTGGAGGTACCACAATCCCAGATTTCAAGATATACTACAAAGGTATAGTAATCTTTGTACAGGTACAAACTAGACATGTAGATCATTAGAACAGATTAGAGAATGCAGAAATAAATCCATGATTAAATGGCCAACTAATCTTCAATAAAGGAGGCAAGAACGTACAATGGGAAAAAGACAGTCTCTTTGACAAACAGTTCTAGGAAAACTTAACAGCTACATGCAAAACATGAAACTGGACCACTTTCTTACACCATACACAAAAATAAGTTCAAAAGGCACTAAAGACCTAGATATGAGACCTGAAACCATAAAAATCCTAAAGACAGCATAGGCAGTAATTCTCCTGACATCAGCCATAGCAACACTTCTCTATATATGTCTCCTGAGGCAAGGGAAACAAAAGCAAAAATAAACTATTGGTTACATCAAAATAAAAAGCTTCCATACAACAAAGGAAATGATCAACGAAACTTCTCCCTATGGAATGGGAGACGATATTTGCAAATGACATATCCAATAAAAGATTAGTATCCAAAATATACAAAGAACTGATACAACTCAACACTCAAAAAAACACAAAAAATCCAATTAAAATGGGCAGAAGACATGAACAGACATCTCTCCAAAGTAGACATACAAATGGCAGACACATGAAAAGATGCTCAACTTCATCATCAGGGAAATCCAAATCAAACCCACAATGAGATACCACTTCATACCTGCCAGAATGGCTAAAATCAAAACCTAAACAAAACAAACAAACAAACAAACAAAAAACAAGTGTTGACAAGCATATGGAAAAAATAGAACCCTCCTACACTGCTGGTAGGAATGCAAACTGATGCAGGCACTGTGGAAAACAGTATGGATGTTCCTCAAAAAATTAAAAATAGAACTACCCTATGATCAAGGAATCACACTATTGGGTATTTAGTCAAAAAATACAGAACCAGTAATTAGAAAAGATATATGCACCCCTATTTATTTCAGCATTATTTCTAATAGTCAAGTTATGGAAGCAGCCCAAGATCCATCAAAAGATGAATGGATAAAGAAGAGGTGTGTATGTGTATGTATGTATGCATGTATGTATGTATGTATATTCAGCTATAAAAAAAAAAAGAATGAAATCTTGCCATTTGAAACAACATGGATGGGATGGATCTAAAGGATATAATGTCAAGTGACATGAGTCAGTCAGAGAAAGACAAAAACCGTATGATTTCACTCATATGCAGAATTAAACAAAATAAACAAAGAAAAAAAGAGTCACCTGGGTGGCTCAGTCGGTTAAGCGTCCGACTTCAGCTCAGGTCATGATCTCACGGTTCGTGGGTTCGAGCCCCGTGTCGGGCTCTGTGCTGACAGCTAGCTCAGATCCTGGAGCCTGTTTCAGATTCTGTGTCTCCCTCTCTCTCTGATCCTCCCCTGCTCACACTATCTCTCTCTCTCTTAGAAATAAATAACAACATTAAAAATTTAAAACAAAAAAACAAACAAAAAAGAGACAAACCAAAATAACAGACTGTTTTTTAGAGAAAGAGAGAGTATGCAAGCATTAGAGAGAGAGAGAAAGAGGGAGAGGAAGAATCCCAAGCAGTCTATACACTCAGTGCAGAGCCCAAACTGGGGCTCAATTCCATGACCCTGGATTCATGACCAGAGCTCAATTCAAGAGTTGGACACTTAACCAGCTGGGCCACCCAGACACCCCTAGGCTCTTAACTATAGAAGACAAACATAGTTAGCAGAAGAGAGGTGGATAGGGGAATGGGTAAATAGGTGAAGGGGAATAAGTGCATCATGAAGAGCACTATAAAATTGCTGAATCACTATATTGCACACCTGAAACATAGAACACTGTATTGTAACCATACTAGAATTGGAAGGAAAGAAGGAGGGAAGGAAAGAATGGAGAGAGGGAGGGAGGAAGGAGATTGATTCAAAAAGAATGTTACATCTTTTTTTAAAAACTTCACAGTTAACAAATGGCATTAAGTTAAAGCCAAACTGGCAGGTTTTCCTAACTAGGTTGACTTGTCGCTGATTCCACTAAAAATAGCTTGTTTGCATACAAAAGCCAATTTTTATCTATGTATGTATTTATTTATTATTTGTTTTGAGTATACTAGACACACAGAGCTACATTAGCCTCAGGTGTACAACATAGTGATTTAAGTTTAAAATGCTGAGGTAGCAAGCTTGGTTCTAAGGATGTGAAACGGGTGGTTTAATAAGTGATCTAGCTTCCTTTGTTTATGAATGGAGGTCGAGATAAGAATCTACAGACACTCTGGCTCTCTCAATCCTTTAAATCCAGACACTGCTGAAATGCACATTACAGAGATAGAGAGCATTAGGAACATAAACATGGATTTCCTCCAGCAACGACTGGTGTCTGAAGGAACAAAAAGACCAACATTTTGGTTAATTAACCTTCATGCTTCCCTAGAACTAGGAGTCTTGTAAGCAAAGACTTTGAGCTACTCACAGCTCGAAGAAGTAAATTATCAGAGCATCTTAGCTGTCCAGATTGGGATTCTAAGATTCCCTGTTTATGGAACTGAGCTGGTGACCGCCTGAGCACTTACGTTAATGGACTAAGACACAGGCACTGTGCTTGGATCAAAGGCAGAAAATTTGGTGCAAGGATGTTCAGGAGAAAGAAAAGATATGGATGAGGAGCACAGTGGAGAGGATTCTGTGGCCTACACCTCTCCTCCTAGATTTAGGAACAAGTTCTGAGCCTCAGTGGGGAAGGTGGTAAGACCCTAAGCTGAAGACACTGTGTTCGTGAAAGACTTTGTGGAACTCTGAGAACAACAGTGCCACTCTGAGGCCTGAGGGCCCCAACTGTGTGCAGAGCTGGGGAAAGGGGCATTCTCCAGTTTTATCACTGAGGAATAGCAGCACCCTGCAGAGGCCGGAGCAGAGCTACACAGCAGTGGTGTCTGCCTGCCCACCTGTTTGAGAGGTAAGCAGTGTTTTCGTGCAAGGCTGACAGCCAAAGCAATGGCCAGCTTCCCTCATCTAACCAGTTAGCAGGCTTCCATAAGGAAGACTGAGAAATCCATGTGGAAAACTCTTAGAACTTCCAAAACACACAGTGAGAGAAACGTGGCTGAGAATGAAGTCGCCTAATAGCGTACGGCTTCACTCGTATGTGGAATTTAAGATACAAAACAGATGAGCATAAGGGAAGGGAAGCAAAAATAATATATAAAAACAGGGAGGGAGACAAAACAGAAGAGGCTCTTAAATACGGAGAACAAACTGAGGTTTTGTTGGAGGGGTTGTGGGTGGGGGGATGGGCTACATGGGCAAAGGGCATTAAGGAGGACACTTGTTGCGAGGAGCACCGGGCGTTATACATAGGGAATGAATCACTGAAATCTACTCCTGAAATCATTATTGCACTTTATGCTAACTAACTGGGATGTAAATTGGAAATTAATTAATGAGTTAATTTAAAAAATGAGTGAAGTGAGGACTTAGACACAGACACTGCCCAGCCTGCCACCCTTGTCCTCCACTCTCCATCCCACAAAGCTGCTGCTGCTGCTGGACTTGGCTCCCATGAGAATACTGCTGACATCAGATGTACTTGTCTAGGAAACAGAAGGAAAAGACTTTATGTATCTTC